CTTGCACGTGTTGGTGAAAATGATGACGGACCAGTCCTCGTGTTCATCCTGGAAGCGCTGGATCAGGTGGACCAGGTAGGCGTCCTTGACCTTCTCAGGCACCAATAGGTAGCGCTGGTCCAGCTGCTCCACGGTGCTCACCCTGGGGACGGACAGGTGGACCGCCGCACCTCAGTGTCCCCGCCTCTCGGATGGGGCTGCCCCCCCCCCCCCCCCCCCCACTGTCTGGGCTGTGGACTCACGGGGCCTGTGCCTCCCAGAAGAATGGCTGGTTGGTGGCCAGGCCCTGTAGCTCCCGGAGTGTGTCAGTCAGCGTGGCGCTGAACAGCAGTGTCTGCCTGCGGGCCGGCACGGCCGCCAGGATGGTCTCCAGGTCCACGGTGAAGTCAGTGCAGCCCTGTTCCAGCAGCCGGTCTGCCTCGTCCATCACCTGCCGTGCCAAGGGGGCGGGGGTGAGGGTACCGTCCATGGCCCCAGGTCTTGGCCACCCCTGAAATAGGCCTCTTTGAGAGGCGTGGACATGCGCCCTGGAGCACCCTCCTTCCAAGGGAGGTCTGCCCCTCACCCAAATCCCAGCAAGGCCCCGCCCCTAAATAACATTGGTAGGGCTGGGGCCCCTCTTATTGGTCCTTGAGTGGTCCTTGTCACCGTTCCTAGCATTTTATGGGACAGTCTAAGGGACATACATTTTCTTTTTTTTTTTTTTGAGACGGAGTTTCGCTCTTGTTACCCAGGCTGGAGTGCAATGGCGCGATCTCGGCTCACCGCAACCTCCGTCTCCTGGGTTCAGGCAATTCTCCTGCCTCAGCCTCCTGAGTAGCTGGGATTACAGGCATGCACCACCATGCCCAGCTAATTTTTTGTATTTTTAATAGAGACGGGGTTTCACCATGTTGACCAGGATGGTCTCGATCTCTTGACCTCGTGATCCACCCGCCTCGGCCTCCCAAAGTGCTGAGCCACCGCGCCCGGCCGGGACATACATTTTCAAACGGATGAGATGGTGCCCCCAGGCTATGACACTGGGCCTGGAGGCTCGAGCCCAGCTCCTGAGGTCTGCCTGTGGGGTCGGGGGACTCACCAGAAAGCGGATCTTCTTTATACTAAAAGTGTTGGAGCTGCGCAGGTGATCTGCCAGGCGCCCCGGCGTGGCGATGACCACGTGCGGTTTCCGGGAGAGCTCCAGCGCCTGGGCCACCATGTCTGGGGGGCAGAGTGAGAGGCGGGGCTGGGTGGGCGGTCCAAAGCTGCCAGGGTCCCATGCTGGGGCCTCCCCCGCCTGCCAGCTCCCATACCCAGGCCGCCGACGATGATGCAGTCTTTCAGCCCCAGAGGCTTCCCCAGGACCCGGAACTGCTCTGCGATCTGGTAGGCCAGCTCCCTGTGGGTGTCAAGGGGCCAGGCTGGGTCAGGTAGTGGTTCTGGGCCTGCCTCCCATTCCCCTCTCCATTCCCAGGATCTCTCTCTGAGGCCCCAGGTTCCTGACTTGCCCAGTCCTATTCACAAAGACACTGAGCGTTGGAGGCCATTGTGGCCCCCTGCCCCCTCGTCAGGCTCAGCCTGGAACATCCCTCCTTCACTAGCCCGATCCAAACTGGCCTCAGCCTCTCCTCCTACCCCAAACCTGTGCCTTCCTCCAAGTTCGCCATTCAGCAATGGCCTCACCACCAGCCAGAGAGTCTCAAGCATCAGGCTCTTCTCCTCCTCTCTGTCCCCCAGTCAACTCTGTCCTGGCCTCTCCCTGGCCCGTGACCTTTCCTGTTCACACACCCTCAGAATCAACCCTCCGCCTGGCATTCAAGGCCCTTCTCAAACTGGCTCCAATAGCCTTTCTGCTGCCTGCCTCTCTCACGCGTCTCCTACATGCACTAGCAGGTCCCTCTGGCCAGAACACCTTTCCCTAAACTTGTTCCTTTGCAGGGTCCCTTTCATTTCTTTTTCTTTGAGATGAATTCAGTCTTGCTGTGTCACCCAGGCTAGAGTGCAATGGTGCGATCTCAGCTTGCTGCAAACTCCACCTCCCAGATTCAAGCGATTCTCTGCCTCAGCCTCTAGAGTAGCAGGATTAAAGGCGTGTGCTACCACACCCAGCTAATTTTTGTATTTTTAGTAGAGACGGGGTTTCACTATGTTGGTCAGGCTGGTCTCGAGCTCCTGACCTCATGATCCACCTGCCTTGGCCTCCCGATGTGCTGGGATTACAGGTGTGAGCCACCACACCTGGCCCGGCCCTTTTCATCTTTAAGACATTCTTTGGGCCGGGCGCGGTGGCTCACGCCTGTAATCCCAGCACTTTGGGAGGCCGAGGCGGGTGGATCACGAGGTCAAGAGATCGAGACCATCCTGGTCAACATGGTGAAACCCCGTTTCTATTAAAAATACAAAAAATCAGCTGGGCATGGTGGCGCGTGCCTGTAATCCCAGCTACTCAGGAGGCTGAGGCAGGAGAATTGCCTGAACCCAGGAGGCGGAGGTTGCGGTGAGCCGAGATCGTGCCATTGCACTCCAGCCTGGGTAACAAGAGCGAAACTCCGTCTCAAAAAAAAAAAAAAAGACATTCTTTGAGTGAAGCCTTCCACGACACCCCCCCGAGCCGCCACAAGCCACACCATTATGGCATGCCATGCCCACTTCTGCTGTCATAGGATTCATCACATCAACGGCTCTGCTTGCTTGCCCAAGGACAGGAGAAATGTCAATTTCTTTTTTTTTCTTTTTTTGTCAATTTCTTTTTTTTAGGTGGGGAGACAGAGTTTCACTCTTGTTGCCCAGGCTGGACTGCAGTGGCAGAATCTCAGCTCACTGTCACTTCTGCCTCCTGGGTTCAAGTGATTCTCCTGCTTCAGCCTCCCAAGTAGTTGGGATTACAGGCGCTCACCAGCGCACCTGACTAATTTTTTTGTATTTTTAGTAGAGACAGGGTTTCTCCATGTTAACCAGGCTGGTCTTGAATGCCTGATCTCAGGTGATCCACCCACCTCAGCCTCCCAAAGCGCTGGAATCACAGGCGTGAGCCAGTACGCCCGGTCTGATATGTCAATTACTTAGGTTCTAAAACTATCGGCAGCTCCCAACTGGCCAGTACTTGCGCTGCTTTGAGCCCTGTGCTGGGAACTTGTCCCCCACACACCATCTTGTTTTATTCGGTTTTGTTTTGTTTTGTTTTGTTTTGTTTGAGATACAATCTTGCTCTATCACTCTGTCACCCAGGCTAGGGAGCAGTGGCTCGATCTTGGCTCACTGCAACCTCTGCCTCCTGGGTTCAAGTGATTCTCCTGCCTCAGCCTCCCGAGTAGCTGGGATTACAGGCACGCACCACTGTGCCCAGCTAACTTTTATCTTTTTAGTAGAGACGGGGTTTCACCATGTTGACCAGGCTGGTTTCCAACTCCTGGCCTCAAGTGATCTGCCCACCTGGAGCTCCCAAAGTGCTGGGATTACAGGTGTGAGCCACTGTTCCTGAGCCATCTTGTTTAATTCTGTAGGACCCCTAAGAGGTGGGCAGCAAGATTTTCATCCTCATCTCACATGTGGGAAAAGGGCACTCAGAGAAGGAAAGGCACTTGCCTGAGACAACACAGCTGGTTAACGCATACCCAGGAGGCCTGGCGGGGGCTCACCTGGTGGGTGTCAGGACGAGGCAGAAGATACCATAGGGGTCCTCAGACAGCTTCTGCAGGATGGGAAGGACAAATGCTGCTGTCTTCCCGCTGCCCGTCTTGGCACAGCCCAGGCAGTCCCGACCTGGGTGGGGGACAAAGCAGCATCAGCACCCTCCATGTGTGGACAGCTATTCCACTGGGCACAGTTTGCAACAGCGTCCATTTAATAAGCAGTTACTGTGTGCCAAGTCCTGTGTGCCAGTAAGCCTTTTCCATTCTGGGCATACTGACCACTTTCCACTGACAACTGATAAATCCTAGGGAGAGAAGACCATTATCGTCTCCATGTAACAGAAGGGAAAACTGGGTTTCAGAGACCTGCTCAGGACACACAGCTGGTGAGTGGCAGGCTGGAGTGGAACCCGAATCCATTTGATCTGAGATGCCCACAGCTTCCCAACACCTCATTCTAACTCCCTCCGAACTTGGGGAACCCAGAATTCCCTTCCCTCATATGCATCTTGTGCTGTTGATCCCTTCATTTGTTTATTTAAATCCCTGACTTGTCACATCTTAGACTTCCTGTGGGCATCTCTTTAGTGGCAAAACGAGTTGGGCTACAGCAGAAGACGTGCTCCTACAGGAGCAATCACAGGACCAAGGAGTCCTGGATCTACCAGCAATTTTGACAACCTTAACTTCTATTTGCAAAATGCAGATAGTAGTATCACGTCTGCAGGATTTTGCAATACTATCAATTAGTCATTCATCAAACCCTCCCTGTGCTGAGACTATGAAAATTTCAGAGACTACATCACTTGGGTACGGACATAAATCAAGTCAGTCATGGAGCCTAAATCCCAACACTGTCCAGTCGGGCTCCGGAACACCGGGTCTCCTGTAATGCCCGAGGCTACCCCTCGCCTCATGGGACCGGAATGAGCAAAGGCTGAGAGAAGGAAAAGGGGTCGAGAGGAGCGGAGACGCTTTTTGCGGAAGGCGCCGGGCCTACTCACCCTCCAGAATGGCGGGGATGCAGCCGAGCTGCACAGGCGTGGGCTGCTTCAAACCCAGCTGCCGACATTGTTCCACGAGCCACGATGACAGCCCAAGCTGCGCGAAGCCTGCCATCCTTGTGCCCAGCCGTGGGAGAGACGGTGTGATTCGCGCTTCCGGCGCGCACCGATAACGTCACGAGAACGTCTTCTTACTTATTGGATCTGCCTCCTGCGTGGTTCCACCCTCTCCAGCTCCCTCAGCCCATTGCCAGTTTCGACCGCATCTTTATCATGTTTTCCCGAATTCCATTGGCTCGCAGAAACACACTACAATTCCCGAGATACCCTGCGTGACGCCCTTGCGACTTTAGCTCCCTTGGTTATCATTGTAGAGTTTCCCATTGGCTTACTTCGCCACCACTCGGAAGAAGTAAACTACATTTCCCAGCGTGCCCCATGTCGGGATCTTGCTTCCGGCCGACGTGTCTTTCAGGAAGAGGAGCGGGTGACAAGTAAGCGACATGGCGCCTCCGGCCCCCGGCCCAGCCTCCGGTGGCTCCGGGGAAGTGGACGAGCTGTTCGACGTGAAGAACGCCTTCTATATCGGCAGCTACCAGCAGTGCATAAACGAGGCGCAGCGGGTGAAGGTGCGGCCGCGCAGGGGCGCGGGGACGCTGGGGGCGGAGGCGCAGGACGCTTCCTGGTGGCCGCGATCCGCGTTCTGCGTCTGAAAACTTTCTTTTCTCGCGTTTTTTGGGCACCTGTTCACAGTTCAGTGAGGAATAATCACTGTCCCATGACAGAACCCAGAGCAGTAACAGTTTACGGTTCTGCTCACTGGTGCAGCGCTCTCTCTGCGCCCTTGGACGCGTTTGCATAGTGGAGGTGTTTATGCTGCTGTAGTGACAAGAAGTATTTTTTGTCTAGCTATACCCTTAGTTCCCTTGAGGTGGGGATTGTTGTTTATCCTCATTTTACCGATTAGAACACCAAAGTTCAGAGGGAGAAACCGCTTCCCCGACGTTTCCCTGCCCACCAAGTCCGGTTATTTCTCCCAGAGCTTACCCATTCATTCATTCATTCATTCATTCATTCATTTATTCATTTATTCATTCATTCTTCATTAAGCACTTTTATTATGGAACGGGCACTGTATTCCGCTGGACTCAGAATGATTACAGATAGTTTCCCAGCGCAGTGGCTCATGCCTGTAATTCCGGCGCTTTGGGAGGCCGAGGCAGGCGGATCGCAGGAGCTCAGGAGTTGGAGACCAGCCTGGGCAACATGGTGAAACCCTAACTCTACTAAAAATGCAAAAATTAACCGCGCGTGGTGGCGGGCACCTGTAATCCTAGCTACTCGGGAGGCTGAGACAGAAGAATCGCATGAACCCGGGAGGCTGAGGTTGTAGTGAGCCAAGATCACGCCACTGCACTCCAGCCTGGGTGACAAAATTGTGAGAATTAAAGAAAGAGGAAAGAAACAGGAAAGGTGGCTTGCCAGTCGAGACAGGTTTATTTTCTCTAAAATAAACCTGAGAGGTGCCTTCTAGCCGAGTTGGGTCAGAGGCACTCTTTTACAGTCTAAAGGTTTTTAAAGATTCAGAGTGGGGGAGTTGATCAGAGGCTTGGGCTGCTTCTGTGTCTCTTTGTTGTGCTTCTCTGGGAGGGATAGTTGTGTGTCTGTTTCCGAACGTCTTTATACAGCTGCAGGCATACTCCCGAGTCTGCTTCAACTTCCCTGTCTTAGTACACCTGAAAGGAAAGGAATGTGCTTATTAAAGCCCACTGTTTTACTGGGGCCCATTGTATGAGGGTGAAGCTCCGCAGTTACCCAAAAGCCTTTCCCCCACCTCCCTCTGTGCCCCAGCTGTCTTATCTGTGTTTTACTGTCTGCTTTTTCTGGTTGCTTCTTGTTAGAAGAGAAGTGATTTCCTTGAAATGCGTGAGGCTAGAGAGAGAGCTGGAACTTAAAGTGGCAGTGTTTGTCCAAGATGAGGGTACTCCTGCTCTGTCAAAAGTGAAACCTTGTCTCAGAAAAAATCTGCCTGCCTCGGCCTCCCAAAGCCCTGGGATTACAGCCGTGAGCCATCGCACTGAACCAAAAAAAAAAAAAAAAAAAAAAAAAAATTTTTTTACAGGTTTTTCTCCCTCCCCCAAACCCCCCCGGGGGAAAAAAAAAAAAAAAAAAAAAGGCAGAGGAAGATTTGAAACACAGAGAGGAGGCAGAGATGGGAGTGATGTGGCCCCAAGCTGAGGAATGTCACAGTCACCAGAAGCTGGGAAAGGCAGGGAAGTATCCTCCCCTAGAGCTTTTGTAGGGAGTGTGGCTCTCCTGACACCCTGACTTGGGACTAATGGCCTCCAGGACTGTGACTGTGAGGGAATTTTTTTTTTTTTTTTTTTTGAACGGAGTCTCGCTCTTTCGCCCAGGCTGGAGTGCAATGGTGCAATCTCAGCTCACAGCAGCCTCCAACTCCCAGGTTCAAGCTGTTCTCCTGCCTCAGCCTCCTGAGTAGGTGGGATTACAAGCGTGTGCCAGCACACCTGGCTAATTTTTGAGGAATACATTTTTTAAGCCTTCTGGTCTGTGGTGGTTCATGACAGTGGCCTGAGCAGCCTAAGATAGTCCCACCTGAGGTGGCCCCAGGGAGAGCACCTGACATGTCTTTACCCTTTGTTGACACTAGCACTAGGCTACCATCCTGACATTTCTGGGTTTCTCAGACATTTGTCAGTTGCCCACAAGGTGGCAGGCACCGCCCAGCTGCTGGGGTTGAAGCAGCTCACAGGCCTTGAGTTGCTGATGGCGCAGTGCAGCCTGGTCATTGGCTACTGGGACAAAGGGGAGGAGTCACTACCCCCAGCTTTGCGGCTACAGGGCCCCCATCCTGTCACCTGCCTTCCTAGACAATACCACAGCTGCATCTTAAGCCACCTGGGGCCAGTGCTGGGGCCACCCTAGGGCCAGGTGACCTTGGTGGACGTGGCCTCCTGCCTTTGCTGGTGTCTGGGTTCCCCAGTGATCCCAGTGAGCCATTGGGAGAGCAGCGCTCTCCCTCCCTGGGACACACATGCGTCCTGATGGTGGGATCGTCCCTGGGAATCAAAGAAAACCACAAAGGTTCCAGAGCCTCACGTCAGGGTCACGGTGTCCGCATTTGTTGTTGTCTTCTTGGCGCTCTTCTCTCTCCAGTGCGCTCTGCAGCCTCTGAGCACTAATGCACGGACAGTCTCCTGGGCACCTGCATTTCACACGGGCGGCCGAGGCCACCCCGTGCCCGCCATGGCACCCCACTGTGCCCTTGCTTTGAAAGCCCCGACAGCCAGCTTTTGTCTCTTTTTTTTTTTCCTAAAGGTAGACAGGGTCTCACTGTCACCCAGGCCGCAGTGCAGTGCAGTGACATGATCATAGTCTCCTCTAGCCTTGACCTCCCAGGCTCGAGCAATCCTCCTTCATCAGCCCCCCGAGTTTCTGGGACTACAGGTGCACGTCACGACACCCAGCCAATTTTTTAAATTTCTTATAAACACAGGGTCTCAGACCAGGCGCGGTGGCTCATGCCCGTAATCCCAGCACTTTGGGAGGCCAAGGCAGGTGGATCATGAGGTCAGGAGATCAAGACCATCCTGGCCAACATGGCAAAACCCAGTCTCTACTAAAAATACAAAAATTAGCTGGGCGTGGTGGTGGGTGCCTGTAGTCCCAGATAATCAGGAGGCTGAGGCAGGAGAATCGCTTGAACCTTGGAGGCAGAGGTTGCAGTGAGCCGAGGTCATCATGCCACTACATTCCAGCCTGGGCCACAGAGTGCAACACGGTCTCAAAAAAAAAAAAACCACACACACACGGAGTCTTGCTATGTTGCCTACACTGGTCTCAAACCCCTGGACTTAAGCATTCCTCCTGCTTTGGCTTCCCAAAGCACTGGGATTACAGGTGTCAATCACCATACCTAGCCTCTCTCTTTTTACCTTTTGTGTGTGTGTGTGTGTGAGACAGAGTTTCACTCCTGTTGCCCAGGCTGGAGTGCAATGGCGCGATCACGGCTCACTGCATCCTCCACCTCCCAGGTTCAAGCAGTTCTCCTGCCTCAGCCTCCCAAGTAGCTGGGATTGCAGGCACGCGCCACCATGCCCAGCTAATTTTGTATTTGTAGTAGAGGTGAAGTTTCTCCATGTTGGTCAGGCTGGTCTCGAACTCCTGACCTCAGGTGATCCACCTGCCTCGGCTTCCCAAAGTGCTGGGATTACAGGCCAGAGTTAGTTATTTAGAAGATATCTCATTCCAAATCACAGCCAGATACCTAGTCTGGCTACTGGAGCCTGAACAGAAGCTGCTGGGGCCTCTTGGCAACGCCAGCCTAAGTCAGGCTGGGGCCAGGTCTTCGGTGGAGATGAGGGATGAGGACACGTTTGACACCCACGCTCCTCCCTCAGGCAGGGGAGAAAGAAGAGATTTGTCTTGGAATCTGTGGTTCTTGGCCTCAAGGAACAGGGTAGCATAGCCCCCCCCTTTGGGCGCTGGATCCTTTGCCCCTGTGCCATGGCAGCTGGCAGGTCCTCTTGCTGAGAGCCCTCTCAGTCCCTCCCATTTAGAGGTTGTTGGAGTGACGATGCCAAGGTGGCTGGGCCCCTCCCCAATTGCACTTTCCTCCCGAAGCCCCCAGGCGCCTGTGCGAGCACCCTCAGGCCACAGGCTGAGCTGCACTGTGTCCACCTGCGTGGGCACCCTGGGAAGTCAGCCAGCCCCTGGGGGCACTCTGCGAAGCGGTGTTCCAGAGGAGGGCCCCAGCCTCCCTGCCTGGCCTGGGCCCAGGGGCAGCTTCCTGATCGTCCCAAAATGGGTGTTGCCACAGGTCACCTCCCTCCTGCTCCTCAGTTCTGTGTGGTGGCTGGGCCGTGGGGGTGTAGCCCAAGTACAGGGCCGTCCCCAGGCTCTCCCCTGGCCAGGGCTGGGCACAGATGTTACCACACTGGGACAGCCAAACTGAGCTCAAAATGTCTTGAGTCAAAAACAGAACAGAATCAAGCCACAGTGGCCCCAGGCCCAGCAGTTAGAGGTGCGGGCACTGCCCTGGCTCCTTGAGTGTGGCTGGAGCAGGCACTGGACTTTGGGAGCAAGTCTTCTTCCTGGGGTGGTGTCGGGGTGGGATGAGATCAGGTACCCCTGGGCAGGGTGCCCCCAGCGGAAGCCACTCTCAAGCTCCCCAAGGTCACGGGCAGTGGAGGATCGAGCTGGGACTCAGACCTTCAACCCTGCTGGAGAAGTCACCTGTCCCCAGCGTACAGGGGCCTGTCTGTCTGTCATGCTCACCCTGTGTTGTGTGGGCGGCACGGGGCCTCCTGTGCATCATGACCCACGTTGGTTCCCACAGCTGTCAAGCCCAGAGAGAGACGTGGAAAGGGATGTCTTCCTGTATAGAGCGTACCTTGCGCAGGTGAGTGATGGCCCCGGGCTGGGGGCGAGAGTGATGAACAGAGTAGAGGGTGGGGCTGGGGGCAGGAAGGCACCACAGAGCAGGCGGCAGGGACCCAGGCCTGCGCGTCCAGTGACTGTGAACAGCCAGCGCAGCCAGCACGTGAAGGCAGCTGTGTCACGCAGGCCCGAGACTACCGAGGCCAGGGAGCCTGGGTCACAGCTTCTTGATTTTTATTTATTTATTTAGAGACAGAGTCTCCCTCTGTCGCCCAGGCTGGAGTGCAGTGGCGTGATCTCCGCTCACCGAAACCTCCGTCTCCCGGGTTCAAGGGATTCTCTTGCCTCAGCCTCCCAAATGGCTGGGATTATGGGCACCCACCACCACGTCCAGCTAATTTTTGTACTTGTAGTAGAGATGGAGTTTCTCCATGTTGGCCAGGCTGGTCTCAAACTCCTGACCTCAGGTGATCCACCTGCCTCAGCCTCCCAAAGAGCTGGAATTACAGGCGTGAGCCACTGTGCCTGGCTGATTTTTTTTTTTTTTTTTTAAATAATTTGTAGGAGCAAGGCACGGTGGCTCACACCTGTAATCCCAGCAGTTGGGGAGGCTGAGGTGGGAGGATCACTTGAAGCCAGGAGTTCAAGACCAGCCTGGGCAACATAATGAGACCTCCATCTCTACAAAAAATTTTAAAAATAAGCCAGGCATGATGGCATGTGCCTGGAGTCCCAGCTACTTGGGAGGCTGGGAGGGCTGGGCCCCTGGCTGCAGATGTGACCGTAGTGTCATTGTGGTCCTCCTTGAGAGGGACAGTGGGTAGGCCGGGGCTGGCTGGGGGCATGTCCTGCTTAGTAGAATCACATGCCACAGCCCCCAGTCGCTACTGCTGCCCTGCCCCCGATGACACGCCCATCCTCGTCCACCAGAGGTGGACAGCTCAGGGGGATAGACAGTAACCCGCCAGGGTCCCCAGCTCAAAGCATGGGCAACCCTGAAGATGAAGACACACCTGGCTGCTCCTGACAGGTGATGCCATGCCCACCTCCACCATGTACTGCAGTGGGGGTGGCCCTTGCTGGGTTGAGGGGTCCGTGGTAGGGCAGGGGCATCCCACCTGGGGCTTTCCCTGCCAAGCCGAGGACATGGAAATCCTCTGGGGTGGGCGGGCGAGCAAGCTGACGCCTTGTCCCCACTGCAGAGGAAGTTTGGCGTGGTCCTGGACGAGATCAAACCCTCCTCGGCCCCCGAGCTCCAGGCTGTTCGCATGTTCGCTGACTACCTCGCCCACGAGAGCCGGAGGTGAGGCCCCAGAGGGCAGACTGGCCTGGGGCGTGGGGCCTTCTCTGAGGCCTATTGGTTATGAACCTGGGGGGGCGGTGGGCGTGGTGTGCAGCACACAGCATCCTCAGATGAGGTGCCTCTCCCCTCTACCCCCTGCTTTTTTGTGTCTTCAGTTTCCCTCACCTGCACAGCAGTAAGGGCTGGTGATGGACCCTGCTTCAAAGGGGAGAGTCAGAGGCAGTGCTGTGTGTGCACCTGCCCTCAGGGCCCACAAGGTACTCTCTGGACCTAGAACTGAGAATGTCAATCAATGAGCAGCCCTCTGTACCACCGAGACCCCACGATAGCCCAGGGCTCAGCGGGGTGGGCCTTCCAATCAGTTTCTTTTTCTTTTTTTCTTTCTTCTTTTTTTCTTTTTCGTGCCGGAGTCTCCCTCTGTTGCCCAGGCTGGAATGTAATCGTGTGATCTCAGCTCACTGCAACCTCCACCTCCTGGGTTCAAACGATTTTCCTGTCTCAGCCTCCTGAGTAACTGGAACTACGGCCATGTGCCACCACACCCAGCTCATTTTTGTTATTTTAGCAGAGACGGGGTTTTACCATGTTGCCCAGGGTGGTCTCGAACTCCTGAGCTCAGGCGATCTGGCTGTCTCTCCCAAATGCGATCAGTTTTCTAGTCCCAGCTAGTCAGGGACTGTATCCTGCCAGTGTCCCCCCTGGAGCCCAGGTAGAGGGCAGGTGAGGCCATGCCAGTCCTGCCCCTGAGCCACAGGCCAGCGTTGGTCAAACGCCCATGGGCAGCAGCCAAAGGGAGAGGGGGCTGGGCTGTGGGGACCCAAGAACCCTGCCCGCTCCTGCTGTGGGGTTGGAGTGAGGGTCTGGGACGGGGAGACTGCTGTGATCCTGTTCTTCCTTGGCCCACGGAGGCAGCGCCCTGACTACTGCCTCCCTTCACCCAAAGATGCTGGGATTCCTGGGAGCTGACTCCTGTGCAGAGGCAGCATAGTGGGGTGAATGGGGTCCGCCAAAAGTCATGTCCGTATCCCATCCCACATGCTTGTGAATGTGATACCATTTTAAAACAGTGTCTCTGGTCTACGGCCATACCACCGTCAACGCTTCCGATTTTGTCTGATCTCAGAAGCTAAGCAGGGTCGGGCCTGGTTAGTACTTGGATGGGAGAAAAAGCATCTTTGCCAATCAAATTAAGAGATGAGGAGATGAAGACATGGTGGATTTAGGGTGGGCCCTAGAGCCAAGGACTTGTGTCCTTATAAGAGATAAAAGCAGATCACCTGAGGTCAGGAGTTTTCAAGACCAGACTGGCCAACATGGAGAAACCCCGTTTCTATTAAAAAAACAGAATTAATAGGGCGTGATGGCACGTGTCTGTGATCCCAGCTACTAGGAGGGCCGAGGCAGGAGAATCGCTTGAACCAGGGAAACGGAGATTGCAGTGAGCCAAGATTGTGCCAGTGCACTCCAGCCTGGGTGACAGAGGGGGGCTGTCTCCAAAAAAAAAAAAAAAAAATGGGGAGGGGGCAGGCACAGTGGTTTACCCTGTAATCCCAGCACTTTGGGAGGCTGAGGTGGGTGGATCACAAGGTCAAAAGATTGACACCATCCTGGCCAACATGGTGAAACCCCATGTCTACTAAAAATACAAAAATTAGCTGGGCACAGTGGTGTGCACCTGTAATCCCAGCTACTCAGGAGACTGAGGCAGGAGAATCGCTTGAACCCAGGAGGCGGAGTTTGCAGTGAGCCGAGATGGTACCACCGCACTCCAGCCTGGTGACAGAGTGAGACTCTGTCTCAAAAAAAAAAAAAGGGCCAGGCACAGCCGACAGCATTAAGCCCACGTGACAACAGAGACAGACTGGTGTGACATGTCTGCCAGCTGAGGAGCGCCAAGAATGGCTGGCAGCCACGAGAGCTGGGGGAGAGGTGTGGGACGGCCTCGCCCTCCAGCCTCCACATGGAGCCAGCCCTGCCGCCACCTTGACTGCAGACTCGGGCCTCCAGAGCTGACAGAAACGAAGCCTTGGAGTCCTCAGACTGCCCAGGTTGTGGCGCTTTGCCACAGCAGCTCCAGAACATTCGGATGGACGACCTCCCAGGGTCACTGTTTCTCCCACCCGGCACTTCACCAGCTGGGGTGAAGGCGGGGAACCCTGGGTCCCCCAGGAGCAGCGGCTGCTGTGAGCATCACAGAAAATAGCCCTGGAGAGCAGGTGGTCCAGCCAGGCGCTTGTGCTGCGTCTCTCCGGCCGCATAGCCGCTGCCTCACTGGCAGGACGCCCTGGGACTGCAGGAGCCTCCATGAATAATTGGTTTTGGTTTTGAGTTGTTTTTTTTTGTTTTGAGACGGAGTTTTTTGCTCTGTTGCCGAGGCCGGAGTGCAATGGTGTGATCTCAGCTCACCGCAACCTCCGCCTCCCGGGTTCAAGCAATTTTCCCACCTCAGCCTCCTGAGTAACTAGGATTGCAGGCATATGCCACCATGCCCGGCTTTTTTTTTTTTTTTTTTAAATAGTAGAGACAGGGTTTCACCATGTTGATCAGGCTGGTCTTGAACTCCTGACCTCGTGATCTACCCGCCTCAGCCTCCCAAAGTGCTGGGATTACAGGTATGAGCCAGGGCACCAGGCTGTTTTTTTTTTTTTTTTTTCTTGAGATAGGGTCTTGCTCTTTCGCTCAGCCTGGCCTACAGTGGCATAATCTTGGCTCACTGCTGCCTTGATCTCCCAGGCTCAAGTGATCCTCCCACCTCAGCCTCCCAAGTGGCTGGGACTACAGGCACGACGTACCACCATGCCCAGCTAATTTTGGTGTTTTTTGTAAAGATGGGGTTTCATCATGTTGCCCAGGCTGGTCTCGAACTCCTGGGCTCGTGATCCGCCCAGCAATTGTTTTTGTTGCTGTTTGTTTTTGAGATGGTCTCGCTCTGCCGCCGAGGCTGGAGTGCACAGGTGCAACCACAGCTCACTGCAGCTTCAGCCTCCCGGGCTGAAGCCATCCTCCTGCCTCAGCCTCCCAAGTAGTTGGGACTACAGGTGCCACCAGGTCCAGCTGACATTTTTGTAGAAAAAGGGGTCCTATTATGTTGCACAGCATGGTCTTGAACTCCTGAGCTTAAGCAATCCTCCTGCCTTGGCCTCCCAAAATACTGGGGTTACAGACACGCCATGGCACCTGGCCCCATTGGTTTGTAACACCTTAGGATGACAACTTTCCGGTACCAATACTGCAACAGCCGGCAGCGTTTACGCACCCTTCATGTGCCGGAGCCTCAGGAAGCTTCGTAAGGTGGCCTTGAGTGCTCCTTGCTCCATCCCATGTGACCCCTGTAACATGGTCCCTCAGCACGGGGGAAACAGACTCTGACCTGAAGTCACTTGTCTGTCAGGCCTGGCACCATGGGGCGTCCTCAGTGGAGCCTGGTTGGTGACAGACATGCTGTGCTCTTGGTGACCCAGGCCCTGGGCAGACAGCCCCCCGATCCGCCTGGATGCTTATGGGATCACAGGGGTGCGTGTGGACCCAGGGGAACACCAGCTTTGGTCTAGGGTATCTCTGTCGCCTGCCTTCTCTTGCCAGCTGCTCAGTAGCCATGGGGCATGGAGGGTCTGGGTCCAGTTGGGGACACGGAGGCGAGTGACCTGTGCCCTCAGGGGAGCCCAACCGGTCCTCAGCCTCACCTGGGCTTAAGCTTGGCCGTGGCCTGCAGCACGCTGGTCATCTTCAGGGTGCAGCTGGCCTGCTGGACTTTCAGGGACTGCGGGCAGCCACCCTGGCAGTGGGGGTGCCCCAGGGCTCCCATCCTTCTGCATGGCCCCTTGGCACCCCAGCCAAGCTCCTGCTAGAAGATTTGGCCTTGAAGTCCACAGGGCTGATTGGTTATGGTCAGGAATCCCAGCTGGGCCTACCACCCTCCTTGGGAAAGTGGGTGAGGTTGGTGTCAGACTGGCGGTGCCTCCTCATGTCTCCTTGGGCACCCCATCCCACGTGCCCCAGCCTTGGGATCCTTGTCTGGACCGGCATAAGAGGTGCCTCATAGGGAGGGAGGGAGGGCATGTCGGGGATGCTCGATGCTCAGCCTGCAGCTGCTCTGCACCCACAGTGCCTGGCTCACCCTCTCTGGGCCTGTCTGCTCCCAAGGAAGGGGAGCCTCTGAGATCCCGCAGGGCTGCCCCAGCTGTGGGTCCTGAGCATCTCTGTGTCTTGCAGGGACAGCATCGTGGCCGAGCTGGACCGAGAGATGAGCAGGAGCGTGGACGTGACCAACACCACCTTCCTGCTCATGGCCGCCTCTGTCTATCTCCATGACCAGAACCCGGACGCCGCCCTGCGTGCCCTGCACCAGGGGGACAGCCTGGAGTGGTGAGTGGCCGCCCTGCTCTGGGGCCAGCCTGGGAGGCAGGTGCCCCTTACCACATCTCCAGGCTGCGCACGCATGGCCTGACTGGCCGTCGTCATGGGAGCAGGGAGTGAGGTGGCGCTGAAACGAGGCCCCGGCCTGTTGTCCAGGCTCCAAGGACACGGTGCCCAGGCTGCAAACCCTCTGTTCCCAAGGGCAGAGCAGAAAGCAGCTTTGTCTCTGTTTGGCTTCTGTGTCCCCACCCCCCCCACAAAGCCTTCTGTGCCTCGGCCCTGGGCCCAGTCTCTCAGGCCTCCCCAGGCCCCCGACACTGGCCCTCCCCCAAGGCCCTCTGGGGTTGGGGTGCTGGAGCCCTGCAGAGTGAGTTCGGTGCCCCCTCCACCCCACGATGTGACTCTGGGCCGTGTCCAGGGCACTGGTCACAGAAAGCGTGTCGGCTTTTCCTGGCGAGCTGTCGTGGAGTGCCTGCCTTCCGCTGTGAGTCCCAAGCTGGGCATTACATGGGGGCTGTGCATCTGCTTCTGTCCCACCTCCATCCACGGAGGGCGGCAGCCAGGCGTGGTGGCGTGCACCCGTTCCAGCTGCTCAGGAGGCGGAAGCGGGAAGTGGAGGCTGCGGTGAGCTGTGATGTCGCCGCTGCTCTCCAGCCTGGGCAGCCAGACCCTGTCTCACAAAAAAAAAAAATTAAAAGAAAAGCAATAGGGATGTCACGCTGCCGGGGGACTGGCGGACGCGGTGCTGGGCCAGGTGCTGGGCCAGGCGCTGGCTCCTGTTGGTGGTCACGGCCGCCTGGGGCCAAGAGGGATGAGGGGACCTGCAGGGAGTGGGTGGCCCCAGGACCCCGCTGCTGGTGCAGGGCAGGTGCATGCCTGTCCTCTGGGGCCTTGTTCCTGAGCACCCACTGCCGCGGGGTGTTGAGTCCGGGCAGGGTGCTCTGTCTGCAGGCACAGCCTATGGAGGCTGCTGCTTCTCCTGTGGGCAGTGAGTGGGCCACGGACTACAGCCCCGCCCTGGGGACCCCTGGCCCCGCAGAGCTCCCGGGCCTGAGCGAGCTGAGTGATGACATGTGGGAGTGCAGGTGTCCCCCTCTGCTGGACAGGGCTGGTGATCCTAAGCAGACAGCTTAGGAACATTCCAGACACAGTGTGAACCCTGGGTGTAGAGGGGCCGTGCAGTGTGTGTGTGGCCACCTGCTGACCGTCACCCACCCTGTCCTGCAGCACAGCCATGACCGTGCAGATCCTGCTGAAGCTGGACCGCCTAGACCTCGCCCGGTGAGCCCTCCCGCCCCTCTCTACCACACGAGCCACAGCCCGGCCACATTGGGACCCCATGGCCCAGAGTGTCTGTGGTTACGTCATTACTCTTGATGTCCGTGTGGCTGGCCATCACTCAGCCCCTCTCTGCAGTATTTTGCCAGGGAGGAGGGCCATGGCTATCTGTGCCTCAGTTTCTCTTTATGTAGTGGGTGGCGGGCCTGTCCCACAGGGTGAGGGTGGGCTTTGTGGAGGGAGTGGAGGCTGTGCCTGGAGGAACATGTCACTTGGCCAGCTTGTAACTGTGCCATGGGGCCAGCGGGGCCTGCACATGGCCACCCTGGGGGTCCATAGCTGGCTCCAGTCCAGCCTTCCCGGGGCCTGCATGTGGCCGAACAGGCAGGGCAGCTTAGGCACTCAGTTGCGGGGGATGTGTGTGCCGGGGAACACGTGGCAGGGGCCATCCCTGAGTTCCACTGGGCGCCAATTGGGAACAAGGCAGGGATGGCCAGGCCGGGTCCTCGCCCACTCAGCCCCTCCTTCCTCCGTCCCCGCCCCAGGAAGGAGCTGAAGAGAATGCAGGACCTGGATGAGGACGCCACCCTCACCCAGCTCGCCACCGCCTGGGTCAGCCTGGCCACGGTGAGTCCCGGGCCACAGAGCAGGTGGACATTGCAGGCACCTGGCTGAGCGGGGTCTGTGGGCACCCTGCACCTATGTCCAGGTTTGCCGGCCACTCCAGTGGGACTCCAGGATCAGGCATGGCCCCTGCCCGCCTGGCACAGCTCTCATGGCCCCTGCCCGCCTGGCACAGCTCTCAGCCTTGACTCCATTCCGGCTTCTCACAGCCAAGCAACTCGGCCAAAGCCAAGAGATGGCGGCGGGCAGGGACGGGCGTTCCTGAGCCAGAGGTGCAGGCCTCTGCCACGACTAGCGGCCCAGCCACCCTGGCAGCCCCTCCTCCCCATAGGGCTTCCTGGGGTTTCCTTCGGCTCAGCTCTGCTCTCCGGGGTCCTGGTCCCCAGCCAGGGACAGGGTCCAGTGTTCCCATAGCAGCGCTGGAGACGTCCTCCGCTCCCAGGCCTAGGCATCTCCGCCTGGCAACAGCCCCCTCCTGGTTTCTGGGACCTGGCCCCCTTCTGAGCCACCCTTTTGTGCAGGCCTGTTAAAATGTACGCCCTGGGCCGGGTGCAGTGGCTCACACCTGTAATCCCAGCACTTTTGGAGGCCAAGGTGGGCGGATCACGAGGTCAGGAGTTTGAGACCAGCCTGGCCAACATGGTGAAACCCCGTCTCTACTAAAAATACAAAAATTAGCTGGCCGTGGTGATGCACAGCTGTAAGCCCAGCTACTCAGGAGGCTGAGGCAGGAGAATCTCTTGAGCCCAAGAGGCAGAGGTTGGGTGACAGAACGAGACTCCATTGCAAAAAAAACAACAATGTGCTCCGTGTCCCTGCTCCCCAGGAGGATGCAGCCTCACCCAGATGGACTTGCCGTGTCCGTCCAGTGTGATGGGACAGGTCCCAGGCAGCCCTCTTGGGTAGTTTGAGCTGTTTTCACAGCCTGCCTTGGCCTCAGGCTGCCCTGCAAGTGGCCCGCTGTCCCAAACAAGTGGACAGGTCAGGCTGCTGGTCACAGAGCTGACTCCTCGTCCGACGGGTCCGGTGACCCAGTAGTCCTCACTCAGACCCTGGCCCAGCCACCCGTGCACTGCACCCCTGGAAGCCCCAGGTTCCACCTCTGTGTGCCCAGTGCTCCGGGAGCCGGTGGGAGGTAGGGCAGGGGGCCTCAGCAGCAGCGTACAAGCTACCCGAGGTCTCTATGGTGATGAGTGGCCGTGCCGTGAACCTGGCACACCAGATTCGTCTCCGTGCAGTGCAGGAGTTGCCCCACTGTGGGAGGCGGCCGGAGCACAGGTGATAAAGCAGGACCCTCCCCACAGGGCGGTGAGAAGCTGCAGGATGCCTACTACATCTTCCAGGAGATGGCTGACAAGTGCTCGCCCACCCTGCTGCTGCTCAACGGGCAGGCGGCCTGCCACATGGCCCAGGGCCGCTGGGAGGCTGCCGAGGGCCTGCTGCAGGAGGCGCTGGACAAGGTAGGCACAGGCCTGTCCCGCAGTGGGGCCGGCGGGAAGCCAGGCGGCCGGAGGGCAGGGAGGACAGAAACAAGTGTAGCAGAGACCCATTGGGTATGCATGGGACCCCACAAAGCTCCTAAGGCCCAGTCAGCAGTGAGGCCTACAAAGCAGGGATCGTACCTGCAAATCAATCCAGATTCCGGCCTCACAAAAACAGGGCATCTAGGCAGCCTGGGCCTCAGTGACCTGAGCTGTCCTTGCTGTCACCCCAGAGCCTGCACATGTGACCCCTCACCTGAGTACATATTCAGTACTGGAGGGAGGCTCCCAGTCCTCATATAGAGTAGAGCATGCTGTGGACAGGAGGTGTCCCCTTCGTGGAGAGAGTGCCGCCTGCCCAGGGTGGCTGCAGCTGTCTCCTGCCTAGATATATATATATATATATATTTTTTTTTTATAAAGACGGGGTTTCACCATGTTGGTCAGGCTGGTCTTGAACCCCTGACCTCAGGTGATCCGCCTGCCTTGGCCTCCAAAGTGCTTGGATTACAGGCGTAAGCCACCATGCCCAGCCTGTCTTGGGCAAATCTTTAACTTCTCTTCATCTCCGTTTCCTCATCTCTATAATGGAAATAACAAGACTATTGTGAGGACTGTCAATGGATATAGAGTGCTTAACACATGGCAGCATAGTAAGTGCTCAGGAAAGGTTGCTATCCTGATGCTATCATACCATTCTATAATCGTTAACATAGATACAGAGGATGACTCACCTTTTGGTACATAGCAAATATACAACCCCCATCTCGCTCCCACCAAAAAGCCTAGGTCCTCTCTTTCAATTTTCTCCTTCCCTCCTTCCCTCCTGCCCACTCCCCCTCCTCGGCCCCTGGCCCCAGTGTGGTCTGGATGGGCCCCAGAGGGGCAGGGACAGAGACAGGACGTGGGGCTGTATCTGACAGGAACCCGAGGGGCTGGCCTGGGAGGGGATTGGGGCCCGGCTTCCTGAAGGGAGGATGGGCTAAGGCGGGCACACAGTAGTGGAGAAGATGCCCTCCTGGGCCCTCTTCATGGTCTCCTCCTGCCTCTTCCTGGCCCCTCAAAACCTGGCACAAGTCAGCAGCCAAGGTGAGGTGCATAGAGGGTGGAGATCACCTATGCCCAGGAGGAGGGAGCCCTGGGAGGTAATGCAGGGCTCTGGGAGGGGAAGATAGAATAAGAGCTCTCCTGCTGGTCCCCTACCCTTCCACATAAACATGCTGGGAGGACCCAGGGCCAACTCACCAGCTGTTCATCAGATGTCTCCTTGCTGGCCTCGGACTCAGAGCCCCTGAAGTGTTTCTCCCGAACATTTGAGGACCTCACTTGCTTCTGGGATGAGGAAGAGGCAGCGCCCAGTGGAACATACCAGCTGCTGTACGCCTACCAGGGGTAGGTGCTGGGCTGTGCCCCACATTCCATATATCTTTCCCTGTACTTAGCTGAGTCCCACTCCAGCAGCTTCCCTGCCTATCAGAGGACCATTCTGAATGTAAGCCCTAAGTAGCCACTTTTCGAACAGTTGTA